GAATAAGTTGTTGGCATCACCTTAAACTACTAACATTGACAAAACTCTTGCCAAAATTCTACATAGAAATTCTAAGAAAGGAATTATGTCTCTCAGACGTGAAATTCATCTTCCTAAGGAGTATCCTTTAAAGACTCCTGAGAAGGAAGAATGCATGAGTATGATACCTTATGCTTTGGCAACAGATAGTCTCGTGCATATTATATTGGGCATTAAACCAGACATCTACCACACAGTGAAAGTAGTAAAATGATACCATTCTGGAACTAGAGGAACATTATATTATTGTTAAGTATGTACTCAAGTATCTTCAGAGAACGAGAGGTTATATGCTGGTACATTCTAGTGGTAGTCTTGAAAAACTAAATTTTCACTGATTTATTTTTTCAAATTGATATTGACTCAATAAAATTGACCTCGAGCTATGAGTTTTTTTCACTAAACTAGGGTAGCATTGGAGGTGGACCTTGCAGACCCAATTACTAAGAGTTTGCCTAAACTTGTGTTCAAGAGATATGTTACTTCGTTGGATCTTAGGAGGATCCCAGACTTGTATTAATCGAGTGGGAGATATTGTGTTCATTGTACTCTTGGAGTAAGACAATGAAAAATATAATCATTTTCAGAATTTTACAAATGAGGTATTATTCATTGTTTTGTGCACACAATTTACAAACATCAAGATCCGGATCAACTGTGAAGTATATGATCATTTAGATATGTCCATGAAGGACATTATCATAGGTTATCACGGTTGATGAATTGATTCACAACTATTAAATAAAGCTGACGCTTTATTTAAATTGCAATAATTCATAAAAAAAAATTTATGTAATAAGGTATCAAATCTTCAGTTAACTATAGTTATGTGATTACTCTTAATCCTGAGTTTATTTTAAATAAGTAATCAAATAGTTTTCATTCTTTGATTTACCAACGGGTGAAGTTTGATCTATTGAAGACCAATAACTCGATATTTTGGGAGTGTGATTATTTGATTATCGGTATTTATGATATAAACAACATGAAATTTGTAGGATATGATCCGTTTATATGTTTTGGTACTTGGATATTGAAGACATTGGCCAGTGCATGTAATCCATTAGAGAAACTATCATAGTCAAGAGAATAAATAATTAATTTAGTAAAACAAAGTTCATCAGTCAATTATCGACATTCTACAAAGGGGTAATGCATATTCATGTTATATGTGTTATTAATCTTGGAGTTCAAGTTCGGGCTTTTAGTGGAGTAGCACTGAATCAAATAATCATTTCATTAATTATCAGGAACCTTAATTAATAACATATGGTAGATCCCTAGGCTAGCTCGAGATAAGGGATGGGGCAATTTCAGTTGATGACGATTAGTGGAACACATGGACTTAGGTTTTGGGCTCAAGTTTGTACTTAAGAGCAAGTGGGAGATTGTTGGGTTTTGTTCTTTCACTAAAGCCCAATAAGGTCTAGTGTGTAAAAAAGAGCCCAATAAGCCTAGAGTTCATTCAGCTTAGGGCTATGATTTCTTGGAACTCATATATATTCTACACTTATAGTCATTAGTCTTAGAGGTCTTCACTTGGTGGTTGCAGTGATAATAAGAGAGTGCCCACACACTAGCTCTATTCCCCCATGAGAGATAGTCTGAAATATCTACTACTAGCCAGACTCGATGAGGTTGTTCGTGCAAAGGAGAACAATTCGTGAAGAGGAGTCAAACACGAGGAGATATTGCATAGATCTAGGCAACAAGAGATAAACATAAAACGATGATGATCTGTCGCATTCAAAATCGCAATAGTCTAAACATCTTCGATTATCCAATTGCGTCAATAGTTAAGTAATGATTTTTCAATGATTTTATATATTATATTTCTTTAACACATATCCTCACGAAAGAATTCATCAATAGCTTGAAATGTGAATATTGCAACTCATGATTCTAAAATCAACTAATTCATCCAACAACTCAAGTTATTAAATTATAGACTTTAATAATTTTATCTTATATCTCTTTTATAGTCCAAAAGTAACTCATATTCTTTTTCCTTCACCATGTGACACCATGTACGGATGGTGTCTTCTTTGAGCGGGGCAAAATGAGTGTCGATTGATTCAGAGACGAGTCACTTATAATTGGTCAAGTCACTGAGTTTGGCATTTTTTATTTTTTTTTGGAGAATACAGAGTTTGGCTTATTGGTACAACATTCCGAGTCTAATAACTATGTGCACGTAATATATGCAATTAATTTTATTTTCTTATTATTTTAACAAAATATTTTAATCACATATTATGAAATATACCTCCTTATTAATAACTTAAAAATCAATATGTTCGCTTATTAACAGGACCCAGTGAAATTTAGGGGGTGTATCATGTATTTGTCCACGAGGTTTTATTACAAAATTTAACATAGTGTCGTAGGCTCGTAGCAAAATTCAAAAATTAATATGTAATATTGTGCGACAGCTGGGTTAATTTAGTGATTAATATTGGAAATTAAAGTTGAGACGAACTATTACGTATTTGATGGGAAAGTGGGTAAATATTTTTATCATAAATTGACTAAAATAAAGCATCGCTCCATGTCCATGCATTAGTGCATAAATATTTTAATCATTAATGCATTAGTGCTTCTTCTTATATTATATTAGTACAGAAAACAAATTTTCAACTTTGATTCTACATTACGTGCAGAGTAGTTGTTGTTTTCTTTTCAATTCAATCGGTTTGGTTGAAGAAGATAAGTAGAATGAAAGCCTAACCTCAAAACATGTGCTGAATTTGACCAGTAAAAAATTAAGCCAATAAATATACAAATTTAAGTGTGAAAGCATGTGATATTCATTAAGCACGTGGCTACAGAGTAGTACTGTTTGGCTTATTGATGTCATTTGTCGTTAGCACTTGTTGAAATTAAAGACCTCAAAATCCTAAGCATATGTTATCGAAATAATCGAATTGCAAATAGCCTGATAGAACAAAAAACAATACAATAAACAAAAGAAGCTCAACGAGAAACTAGAGCACTCCCACGTTATACAAAACCGAAGACTTAAAAACAAAAAAAACAAAAAGAAGCCAACTAAGCACACATAATCTTGCTTAAGCATTTCCACATATTCGCCTCTTACACCAGATTTATCGAGAAATTGATGACGTCGACGATGGGGAAGTTTTATTGAGGATCACTTTAATATTACAAATCCATGACAAATATTAATAATAATTATAAAATTAAAATCATAAAAGATAGAGATGAAAAATGTGTAAGTATGTTGATTTATGGTAATTGCATTATTTAATAATTATAATATTCATATTCAATAACTTAAAAAATTTAGAATTTTTATTATTATTCTTAGAGATTTTATGTTTGTTTTGAACCAATTTAACGGGTCAATGTACCAACTTGCTGAAAAACAAGGTTTTGTCTACATGTTATATGTTGAGGTTTAAACCCTATCTTGAAAAGTAGTGGGTCACATGCCGATGATAGTGTATTTTCCATCTATTTATAGATATATGTCTTCACTTTACTCCGTGCCAAACTCCATCACACTCATACACTAGCTTGAACTAATAAATTATGGACAATCAAATATCTTTTCATTATAGAAATATCTTAAATAGTCGAGAGTACAATTAGAAATTTATAAGACTGATTCAAAGTACTTTTAATTCAAAATTATTAATCCAAATTAAAATTGAAATAAATATAAAATCAAAATCAGAATAAGTACTGAATTAATACAAGATTTATAATTCAAAATTCACATTTAATATTCAAAAATTAGATTTGAGGGAGGAAATATCTTGGATCTACTAATACTATTGAGTCCACAGAAGCTCAGATATTATATTTTGCTTTGTGCTTGGACATGAGAAGACGATGTAGTCATCTTTGAATCATACCAAATGACCCGACTCGTTATTTTGGATCATAACAAATTTTAATAAGTAATATATTTTACAAAAAAATAAAAAATATTATGTAAAGATTTTATTTATTTCATTTAATTATGAACTTATATTTTAAAAGTTAATAATCTTTTATCAAATTTTGAATTTTATTTGATATTTTTATTGTAGTTCTAATGTGTTATTCGGGCATTTGATATTAAATATTGAGATGAATATTGATATTATGTAAGATCAGGATTATTTTACATCAATAGAAATTAAACTCTAAATTATAAATATTAATGCTATTCTAATTTATTAAATATTTGAATCGTTAAATACAAATAAATTAATGGTTAAGATTTAATATAAGACTTATCATTATTAAATTAACATAAGAGTAACCCGCACCAATTATGTATTACAAATTTCAGAAGTTCTTAATTGTTAAAACTCTGATAAGTCTTGGTTCTTTTCTAATAGCCGTTATTATATTTATATCTTCAAAGTCAACTCCATCTAACTAACCCAGCTCTACACGGAATGTTGTCTTCACATTATCACAATCTGTTCGTCAAATGTTAAAAATTGAATTTATTCAAAAAAAACAAAAAAAATGAATCTGAGGAAAAAATATTATATGCACCATGGCTAACAGAACAGGAGCATGCATGTTGTTTCAAATTCCAACAGTATCGTCTATTTATTTTTTCAATTAATCATTATTAGTATATAGTGAATAACATGATTAATGATTTAGAAATTTTAAAAAAACTTAAAGGAAACGGTTAAAAATAGAAATAGAACCCGATAAGATATGCAGAATGCACAGTAAAAATTTTTTTAGTAGGAAAAAATTATAGAAAGTAAAGAAGAGTAATATTTTACAAAAACTGGATCTAAAAATATAAAGGAAATAATAATAATAATAATAATAATAACAAGCAATGGTGAATTGAAAAGGTATGACTTATGAGGGTTCACACAGAGTGACCCAAATGAATTATGAATTAGCAATTAATAGAAAAACAATATAAAAATGTGATACCCTCGGTGGCATTATTTTTTCTATAAAAATTAGAACGATCCCAGTACTCGGAATCTATCCCTTCCAAAAACAAATAAAAGACACTAGAAATCAAAGCTTGCCACTCCTCTGTCTCAAAGTTGTGCTCTGCCTCTCTCCCAGACAGAGAACACGAAAAAGCCCATATCAAACCTGGATATCATAAAACATTAACAAAGAAGAATGGAAACGGAGGCTCAAAGGCCCACACTCCCACAAAACCAATCTCACACCAAACCCCTCTCTCGCCTCAACTCCTACGTAGCCAACACCAGAGCAGGCAAATGGTTCAAGCTCTCACAGCGCAACACCACCTTCACCACCGAGCTCCGAGCCGGCACCGCCACCTTCCTCACCATGGCTTACATCCTCGCCGTCAACGCCTCCATCTTAACCGACTCCGGTGGCACTTGCTCTGTCTCCGATTGTGTCCAACTCTGCTCTGACCCTTCCATAGCGCTCTCTGCCTGCACAGGCCCATTACTTACGGTCAAACAACCCGACGAATCCTGCAAGTTCGACCCGGTTAACCCTGGCTACACCGCCTGCCTCGACAGAACGCGCAAAGACTTGATCGTCGCCACCGTAGCCTCCTCCCTCATTGGCTGCTTCATCATGGGCGCTTTCGCCAATCTTCCTTTGGGCCTCGCGCCGGGCATGGGCACCAACGCTTATTTCGCTTACACCGTCGTCGGATTCCACGGTTCCGGCAGCATCTCCTACCAGAACGCCCTCGCCGCCGTCTTCATCGAAGGTTTAATCTTCTTTCTCATTTCAGCAGTCGGTCTACGCGCCAAACTCGCCAAGCTCGTGCCCAAGCCCGTCAGGATCAGCTCCTCCGCTGGAATTGGGCTTTTTCTCGCTTTCATCGGGCTTCAAAATAACCAAGGGATCGGGCTGATCGGGTATAGCTCGTCCACCCTGGTCACCCTCGGAGCCTGCCCAAGCTCCTCGCGGGCTTCTGTCGCTCCCGTTGTAACGGCCGCTAACGGCACGATCAGCTTGCTCCAAGGTGGAACCGTTTCGGGCGATATTCTATGCCTCAGCGGTAGAATGGAAAGCCCGACGTTTTGGCTGGGCCTGGTGGGCTTCGTTATCATCGCTTACTGTCTAGTGAAAAACATTAAAGGCGCCATGATATACGGCATCGTTTTCGTTACCGCGGTGTCGTGGTTCCGTAACACAAAAGTAACGGCGTTTCCGAACACCGATTCGGGTAATTCGGCTCACGAGTATTTCAAGAAGGTAGTTGACATACACACTATAAAGAGCACCGCAGGGGCATTGAGCTTCAAGAACATAGGAAAGGGCTTTTTCTGGGAAGCTCTGGTGACGTTCTTGTACGTCGACATTCTCGACACGACAGGAACGTTGTACTCCATGGCGCGCTTCGCTGGTTTCACGGACGACAACGGGGATTTCGAGGGACAATATTTCGCGTTCATGTCCGATGCCACTTCGATCGTTGTCGGTTCCCTGCTGGGGACTTCGCCGGTGACGGCGTTCATTGAGTCGTCGACGGGGATCCGAGAGGGTGGCCGGACTGGGATCACGGCGCTGACGGTGGCGGCGTATTTCTTCCTGGCGTTCTTCTTCACGCCGTTGCTGGCGTCGATACCGGCGTGGGCGGTTGGGCCGCCGTTGATATTGGTGGGGGTGTTGATGATGAGATCGGTGGTTGAGATTGATTGGGATGACATGAGGCAAGCAATACCGGCGTTTGTGACGCTGATATTGATGCCTTTGACGTATTCCATTGCTTATGGGCTTATAGGTGGGATTGGGACTTACATTGTGTTGAACCTTTGGGATTGGGGGTGGCAGCTTTTGGGGCACTATGGGTTTGTGAAAACAACAAATAATTCCCAGGTCAATGGGGTACTTCAAAATCAACATCGTCCACAAAGTCCAACTGTTAAACCACAACAAGTAGATGTTTAGTCCGGGGGGTAAGTAGTTCAAATATTAATGTGGCCTTTTTCTTATTCATACATCAATTTCACAAGTTTGAACTTTTTTTAGGGATACAATTTATGCCAGTGTGAATACATATGAGATGTCCATGCCTTATTTTAGTACCTTGTTGAGATTGAGTTGTATTTTTTGAAGTTCAAGAAAATAAGTCAAAAACTTATACAACTTGGTTTTCAAATATGTCTCAATCATTAGCTCATGGTTTGGAAATGTTTGGATTTATTATTTGGAAGTTTTGTGCCTTTGATCAGATAAATTGAATCTTAGGTTTCCGTCACATATTCCAAAGGCTCTTTTCTTTTTTTTTCATTATACGCCCCTTTCAAATGATGGAAACTTGGAAAGTTCTCACCTCCCTATATTTGAACCTTTTTTATATTACAACTTATTCTTTTAATAGATGAATGGTTATTTACATATCATTTTCAACATGTATTTAATGAGCTTATATATTAGACGCCTTACTAATTGATTAATGGTTGATTTTCAAGAGATGCAAAAATCTTCAAGAGTTTAATGGAAAACCATATTTAGAAGCAATGAATTGTTTGCAATCTTTTTCAATTTCCGTCCATTCTTTGACAATGATTTTCAAGTAATGCAACGTCAATAGTTTTTTTGTCCCGTAATTTAAAATTTATAATAGGTTGGGTATAATCAAAGGTAAGCTATATCTAATAAAGATGGTTGTTAATAATGAACAAGTCATAGTAGAAGCCGTATTGGTAGAATTAACGATTTATTAAGTGTAAAAGTTTTTATTCTTATAATGTATAAGGCAATTGTTCCTATATATAATATACATTGTAAAAATATATAATTAACATAACATAATCAATTAATGATGAATTGATAATAATAATAATAATAATAATAATAATGAACCAATGATTATATCATGAGTTTTTGCTATGTTCTTGACAATCTTTTTATTCTCTTTATGAGAAATGATATAATTAATGTTTCAGAATGGTTAAAATTATTTTATTCATATGACTCTCATTTATGAACAAACTATTAAAAAATCATATAATATATAAGATACATGAAATGGCAATATCATCTATGCGATTTATAATAATTGAACAAATATAATGTCAAATACTAGATGTATATAGTAATGTTTATTTAAACTGTTTATCATGCAGGTCAAGAAATTAAGTTTCCATTATAAAACGTCAGCATTCGAGATCATTTTGCCATTTTCAATGGACATACACTTTCAATTTGATTCATAAATTTTGTATGAAGTTATCTATCAATCTATATACTTTATGGGATTTGCATTCATCATGTAATATGACATAAAAAAGTTTCCTACACACACAACATTTTGTGGGGCCCGCACTTTTTGAAGCAAAAAAAAAAACTAGTAATGTGAGCCAGTAGTTTTTAATTTTTAATTTTTTATTATAGAACAAATACTTTGTAGTTTTTATTCATTTATTTATATTTTTCTTGATTTCTCATTTTCTTAACGTCTCAAATACTTTATTTTTTAGAATAGCAATCGAAATATTTTTTTTAATAAATTAAAAAAATATTAATTTATTATGAAAATATAAATTATTAAAACATCCTAAAGATAATATTGAATTATATATTTATAAATATTTCATTTTAATTTCAATATTACAAATTCTAATGATAAAAATATCTAAATAAATTTCTCTGACTGTAGAACATTTAAAAATGTGATGAGAATACGCAATTTTAAACCCTAAAATACATTTTATTCTTTTCCATCATTTCACCTTTTATGTGAGTTCCCTGATAACTCCCTCAATTAAAGATCACCTTTGTAGTGGGATTTCCTTGAATAAAAAAGAAAATATTTACACAATATATTTTCATTTAATTTATGTACATTTTATCAATCATATATTGTGATTTTATTTATATTGATAATATTAGTATGAGGTGTGTTAAAAAAATTATAAATATCATGTAATATAGTAAATAAATATTTTAGTTATATTATAATGTTTTAAAACAATTATCAAAATATCATTAAAATAAAAAATTATTTTGTAAATGAAAATAAAAGTAAAGAGTGATGATTATATATAATTTGGATGTCCTAAAAGAGTTCTATTAACATGCCAAATAAAAATAGTTATTGTTTCATTTAAATTATATATGTAAAGTTAAGCATCTAAATATTGTTAGAAATAACTAAAATAAAATAAAGTTAAATAATTATAAAATTTTAAATACGAGTCTCTATGTTATACTGAAATATTTTTTAGGAGTATTATTGACTTCTTTAATCAAATATTATCCTTAAACTATTTGTACTATAATGTTTTTTAGAAGTAAAATAAATTAATTCAAATATAAACTAAATTTTTATTCGCCTGATAAAAATTCATAAGCACAAACATTCAATTTGTACGGATATGATAACAAGTTGTGATTAATGCAATTAGTTCCACCAAATGTTAATTCTTTATGGATTTTTTTTCTTGAAGATATTTTGGTAAAATCATATAAATTCAATTATATTCTACGTATATTAAAATGAATTAAACAAGCTTCACTAAATAAGCTCAAAAACATGAAACATAAATAAATAAAAATGCGCACTATTACTATGTCAATTTAAATTGTAACTCAAAATTCTCATAAACATACCTCTCAATTACATTGAACTCACATTTTTCAAATTCAATTACATTAAATTGACATATGCACATTCTCTTAATTTATTATTTCGCAAATTGCTTCAGTATTGGAAACTGAAATTTGAGGTCATTGTAGAAGAATATACTAGCAAATAAAATTACAAAAAGTTTTTAAAATCAGTTCTACATAATTTTTCTGATAAGATGAAACAGTTATGGTTTTTTGGTTTTTTTTTTAAATGCATGACCCAACCTGGTCACGGGTCATCGGGTCATCGATTTTGGCCAATTTTGTCCGAGTCGATGTATGATCGATCCAATGCTTGACCTGAACTGAACCGGTCCGATGACCGGTTCGCCAGGTTCCGAGTCGGGCCGAGTTTTACAATAGTGTCTTGATTGAAGTCTGACTATAGTCAGACTTAGTGTAATTTGTAAGTTTGTAAGAAAAAAAGTTTGTCAATATAATATCTCCCTAGTATATAATATACATTGTAAAAATATATAATTAACATAACATAATCAATTAATAATAATAATAATAATAATAATAATGAACCAATGATTATATCATGAGTTATTGCTATGTTCAAGACAGTCGTTTTATTCTATTTATGAGAAATGGTATAATTAATGTTTCAGAATGGTTAAAATTATTTTGTTCATATGACTCTCATTTATGAACAAACTATCGAAAAATCATATAATATATAAGATACGTGAAATCGCAATATCATTTATGCGATTTATAATAATTGAACTAATATAATGTCAAATACTAGATGTATATAGTAATGTTTATTTAAAATGTTACCATGCAGGTTAAGAAATTAAGTTTCCATAAAAAAAAACGTCAGAATTCGAGATCATTTTGCCATTTTCAATGGACATACATTATAATTGAATAAAAATAGTTTCTTTTCTCTTGCCCTTCTAGCAACCAAAATAATACTAATAATAATATCAGGGGTTTAATGTCTCTTATATTATATGAGAGATAAAATTATCTCCTACACATAAAAATACATGATACTTATATTTTTTTTTTCTCTCACTTCTTTTTACACTTTTATGTATGTGTAAAAGATAATTTTATCTCCTATAATATAAAAAATAGCAAACCCTTAAATAATCTTGCGGAAAGCTTCATTATCAATGCTTTCAATTTGTATCATAAATTTAGTATGAAATTATCTATCAATCTATATACTTTATAAAAATATTTTCACTAGTAATGCGAGCCAGTAGTTTTTAATTTGTTATTTTTTATTATAGAACAAATACTTTTTAGTTGTTATTCATTTATTTATATTTTTCTTGATTTCTCATTATCTGAACGTCTTAAATACTTTATTTTTGAGAATAGCAATCGAAATATATTTATTTTTAATAAATTAAAATATATATTTTTATTTTAATATTACAAATCCTAATGATAAAAATATCTAAATAAATTTCCATGACTGTAGAACATTTAAATATGTGATGATAATACGCAATTTTAAACCCTACAATACATTTTATTCTTTTGCATCCTTTCACCCTTTATGTGAGTTCCCTGCTAGCTCCCTCAAATAAAGATCACCTTTGTAGTGGGATTTCCTTGAATAAAAAAGAAAATATTTACTCAATATATTTTAAATACGAGTCTCTCTGTTATACTGAAATATTTTTTAGGAGTATTAATTGTTAACTTCTTTAATCAAATATTATCTTTAAACTATTTTGACTATAATGTTTTTTAGAAGTAAAATAAATTAATTCAAATATAAACAAAATTTTTATTCGGCCGATAAAAATTCATAATCACAAACATTCAATTTCTACGGATATGATAACAAGTTGTGATTAATGCAATTAGTTCCACCAAATGTTCTTTATGGATTTTTTTTGTTGAAGATATTTTGGTAAAAACATTTTTTTATTGAGAAAAAATGTTCTTCAACATACACTTATTTGTTCTTCTTCTTTAATTATTCTTAAATAAATAAGAGTAGGTAAGAATTAAACTAAAATAAGTAGATAACCTCACTTACCTAACCCATTGGAACAGAGACCATCCACCTGTCCGGAACATCTACTTATTAAGCTAAAATGGCTTTTGTCAACAGAATGAGAAAATTTAACAGTTAAACATGTACCAAAACCAAAGTACGAAGGACAGCATGATTCTCCTTGTATACGTGATTGATTGGCTTCGAAATTTCTATTCTCACACGAATTCACGCTAATTAGATTGTTATTATTGTTTTCAATGATTGATTGCCAAATGTGAGGAGATTGGATGAGGGAACATATTCTTTGTTATTTGCTGATCTGATATGCAACATATGGTTTTGTACGTCAACCTCTCAATACACTAAAAAAAGGTCCCCTTCGAACTTTACCCTCCTTATTAATGTTTGGGTCTTGTTTGCAATACGAATAGCTAGTGCCTAGTGGGATTCTCACCTGAAATGTCAT